GGAGTTGGATGAAACAGAATTGGCTCTGGCTGCAGAACCCAAGAGCAAAGATCCGTTCGATGCACTTCCTAAAGGGTGAGGTGACAAGTTGTTTGTCGTGGCACTATGTGACCTGGTTACCACATTTCAGTCTTATTAATGTGCTGCAAAGTCTGTCAGACAGATACCTCTGTGAACATTGTGACGGCGGAGATTTTTGGACGGCCCGTTATGTATGTTTTAGGACATTTCAGTCTGTAATGCATGGATTATGCACGTACATAATTCTCAGTCATATATTTATTTTGAATTAAATATATTGAAATTGGTTGCTTCCCCATGTGGCAAATGTCTGTCTTTGTTGCTGTCCCAGCCCTTGTTTATTGTGTAAGTATATAATCTTGTATTTCTTACTCTGACAGCAGTTTCAATATGGATGACTTCAAACGCTGCTACTCCAATGAAGATGAAACCAAATCTATTCCGTATTTCTGGGAGAAATTTGACCCTGAGAACTATTCTATCTGGTTCGGGGAATACAAATACAATGACGAGCTGCAGAAAGTTTTCATGAGCTGTAACCTTATTACAGGTAATCACCTGTGTTCCTACTGCGCTGTTAAACTTTTCACTGCCGTAACATATTATTGAAACCTTTACAGAGTGAGTTTGAATGCCCTTATAATCAAACTGTGCTTTATTTTTGTTGATTTTTCTTTTCCCAAATGATAATGGGTTTAAATAAAATATTTATACAAACATCGCACTGTAAAGGGTTGACATTTGTGCTCCCAAATTACGCTTTAAGAAATGTGGGTGGGGAGCAGTGATAAGAGCTGTTACACTTTTGTGTCACTTACAGGCATGTACCAGAGGTTGGATAAGATGCGAAAGAATGCGTTTGGATCTGTGTGCTTGTTTGGGACAGATAATGACAGTTCCATATCTGGTATTTGGATTTGGAGAGGTCAGGGATTGGCATTTGAGGTAAGTGTGTCAGAAAACACTACAATGAAATTCACTTTTGGTGTTACCAGCTTTTATGGAGTAGCTGACTATACTTTGTTTCCCCCCCCCCCCCATCCAGCTATCGCAAGATTGGCAGATTGACTACGAGTCGTACAAATGGACAAAATTGGACCCTTCTAGAGAAGATACAAAGAAGCTAGTGAATCAGTATCTGTCATGGTCTGGTACTGACAAAGAGGGTCGCAAATTCAATCAAGGAAAGATCTTCAAGTAGACTAAGCATTTTTCATGCATTCAGGTTTTGTATGGATATCAATGTGTGATTTGAATTCCATTTTGTATTTTTCAATTTTCTCAGCATCCCTTAACATTAAATTGCTAACTCATAAGTGATTGCTGGTGTAATACTTTTATTTGTCAATCGGAGAAACTCGGTTGGACATATGAATGATTCAGTTTATTGTGGGGCAAGAAATGTGCTTTGTTACTTTTAACCTTTTGAATGTTTCCTTTGGTGTCCACAGGTAATGTATTTTAATATTGGCTTTCCTATTTTAGGCTCTTAATTGTAAGAAATTGAAAATACAGATTGGTTTAGAATATTAAATTCTCTGGTGATTTGTCTGTGTCTACAGTTAGACTGATATTTGTGGCCATGAAATCAGATTGACATATTTTGTTATGAGCAAGTTGTGTTTTACTACAGGCTTATTAAAAGGCCCCTGTGTCACATGCATTGCGGTGTACACGTGACTGGCCTTACCTACTACCTTCCGCCATCCAGTAATACCAACGCAGAATGAGAAATATTTACGATGTGTGTTCCTGAGAAGTACACAAATCGTCTTCACTTTTTGACATAGTGCCTTCTTTTTATAGGCGTTTGCCGCCTGTGTACCACATTATGGTGTGTTTCTCCCTCTTGTAAATAGTGGCATTTTTTCCATATTCATATATTGATCAGTATTTGGTTCCTTGAACTGAAGCAACTTTGGGAACAGCCCTAAGTTCAGTTGGGGTGAATGAAATGGATGCAAGAATATCTCGACTCTTATTTTCATTGAATGAAGAATTATTAACAAAAAGTACCAAGAATACAGCTGTGTCACATGATCATGCTGTGACTAAGTGGCCAGATATGTAGATACTTTGCAGTGGAAACCATAAAGATAATGTTTGTGGCAGAGTTCTGATTTATGGGATGTGATGTGTTCAGCACCTACCACAATTTGCAGCCTAAAGTGTAGGAGAAAATTACACAATGTTCTGTAGGTGCAAGTTTTAATGAAATGTAATTTAGGGTTTATTGATTCTGTCAGTAGCTCATTGTGTTGATAAGATGACTAGTGAATAATGAATTCATAACAATATGGAAGAACTGGCCTTGGTATAATTTAATATACTATCTCATGTGCCTGGAGGCAAGATTTGAATACAGTGCTCATGTGGTTGGTCATTTTGAGATTTTACAGTACTTTGGAATTTACTTATTGAATTCCATTGCTTCATACATACACAAATCTAAATCTTAGAAAATTTTGATCATTTATAGTAATGTAAAAGGGTACAGATCTTCAGTGTGGCTTATATTTTATAACAGTATCCAAGTTACAAACATGGTGTAAGGTGGTTGTGCATTGTCTACCCCTTATTAAAGAGATATGCATGGCGTGGACATGATGCTTGATGACTGAAAGGATTATTGTAGCAATGTTATGTGTTGGTAAGAATATTCTAATTTTGGTCATCCTAAAGATTTCTAGCCAAATATTGGGTAGGATGCAGAACTTAGAAAAGTTACCCATTTCATTTTAGTGATAAGGAGACCACCAGATTTTGGTCAGGATCTGAGCTTTAAAATAGGTACAAGTTTCATATAGTGCTAGTGTGGCATTTGTTCGTAATGAGTAAGCGTCTGTTGGGTTTGCCCTACGTGAGAGGATATTGGTACTCGACCAAAAGCTTGAACAATGTTCGTGGAGGCGCGTCTTACAAATATTTGAGTGAAGTGCCAGGGCCCGTTGACTTCTAACCGTTCGAACAGATATGCAACGATAGTAATTCGATTCCAGATCTGAAAGCACCATTTAAATCGTGTCACGAGCTACTTATGTACAAAATAAATAAATATTGACTTCTGAACACAAAAAATGTATTACGTTGTGCAATTTATTATGTGCTTTTCTTACGATCTAACTATTCGTAGCCGGTCATGAGTCTCGATCTTCTAATCGATTCTTTCATTTTCAGGCAACAAATTATGTTGGCGAACCTGTATTAAATGTCGCTCCACATTTCCCTGTCGTTACTTACGTAGATTAATACCAAATCTGTGAAATGGAGGTTGGTGAAGGAACATAAATGAGCGGTGATACAAAGGAATGTTTTAAGTCATATCATACAAATGATTTTTGTGGATAATGTGGTTCAGATGCATGGCGAGGTATAGTATGTGTGTATGTGTACTCTGTATTGCAATGTAAATGAATCTAACGTAAAAGAATTTTTGAAAAAGTAAGCTGCATGTTTACATAAAGAAGATGGTTTATAGTAATATATTAAATATGTTTTTGTTGGTACTTGGACAGTTTTGTTAGTACAGCAGCATGTAATTTGTAAGTACTTTGACATTAAATCTAATTTTTAGGATCGACAGGTGACTGGGATGGAGTTTCCAAAGATTCCCAGAGTGCAGGATTGTGAAGAGTGGACGTATACTATGCGTCGTACAATGCAGGAAATTGTGCCGGGATTGTTTCTTGGACCATACTCGGCAGCAATGAAATCCAAACTGGACCATCTTAAGCATCATGGTGTTACACACATTGTGTGTGTCAGACAGGATATAGAAGCACACTTCATTAGACCAAACTTTCCAGAGAGGTTCAAGTATTTGGTCCTTGATATAGCAGATAATGTCACAGAGAACATTATTCAGCATTTCCCAAAAGTTCGTCAGTTTGTTGATGAAAGCTTGTCAATGGGTGGAAAGACTCTTATCCACGGGAATGCAGGGATCTCTAGAAGTGCAGCCCTAGCTTTAGCGTACATTATGGAAAAGTATGGATTGTCATGCAAGTAAGTCTTATTTTTATATTGGTGTATGACTTAACAGTGATAAAGATATGCATAGCTGAAGATCATTGTATTATAGCTTATTTCCTGGTATCATTTATTTCCCAGGGATGCTTTCTCCATGGTCCAGCAGCGTAGATTTTGCATTAATCCAAATGAAGGATTCATGGCACAATTAACGGAGTTTGAACCCATCTACAAAGCACAGCGGACTCTACAGAATGGACAGTGTTCAACAGAGAAGGGTAGAAATAAGAGGCGTATTGACCAAGTGGATGATCAGGTGTCGAATCAGGCAGAGATTTTCATGTCGGAGGTGATGGACATGACTGGCAGCTGATGTGTCATATCAAGATACATGTATCATTCAGTAGGTACTAATGAAAGTCTTGTGTATCCAAATTTGGCACATTTGTGGGGCAATGCTAGTGACAGTGGATACAAGATACACGTTAACACTGTCGAATTTCTGTGTGTTAAGAAGGTGCGTCTTCATAAAAATTGTGCAGATGTTTTTGTAGATATTGTAGCACTGCTTGCGGCTCTGCTGGATATCTTGTGGGTACTTACAAAAAATAAGGGCATGTAGAAGGAATACCTAACTTGATCTTTTTACTGTTCATTCCTGGTAAGAAAATGAATATTATATTTGAGACCTAGAGTCAGTCACGTCATGTAAGACCAGCAGTTAACGCATTGGTATTTGATGTGTGGCCCATTTAGGCTTGGATGTAACAATAACAAGCGACTTATTTGCAGGTTCCAACTGAACTTGGTTACCCGTTGTCAGTCGTGATCTCGTTTGTATACATTTGAAATTATACTTTAATAATTAAATGATGAGAGCAGTATGTCATGATTTTTTTAAATTTCTATGGTAAGTATTTTAGTGTCAAATTGTCAGAATCTGTTGGTAATATTCTAACTGTGAAGATTAATATCTTATGATATTTCAAAGTGGTCATTTTTAAGTACCACACATGTAATGAGGTTGTATCTCTAGATTATGAACAGATATAGTTGATGGAGAATATTTTGATGAAACCAGAGACCTCATTTCTGTTCTCATTTACCGCCATTACATGTGTGAAGGTTCAATTGGTGTTCATAAGAAATTAAATGGCCACAACTCGTGAAGCTGTTGAAGAAATTAAGCTTTATAAATTTATGCCATATATACATGACAAGACGAGTGCGTGCGTGTGTCTTTGTGATTCTTCATCAAGAATTTAAAACTGAATTTTTTTAACAAAAAGACTGTAGTTCATATAAGCATGTAACATGGAGAATCATCAAGTTTTGAGAAGTCTGATTATTGTTTTTTATCAGAAAATCTGGTGTATCCAGCATTGGGTTTTATAAAAAATAACTAAAGTTGATATTTTTCAATATGAATTTGTTTTTTGTCTACTCCATCAGTGCCCCATTTAATTAGTTGAGACTCTTGTCAGTCCATTTCAGAAGATGTTGGTAGGCTTATAAGGAAATAAGGACTCTTGCAGTTACTATAAGATTTTTAAAAAAAATTGGACTACTTTTATGTATATATACTGTAAGATGATTAGTTTCTTGTAGCTGGGAAGATACCACATAGCAAGCAGACTTACTGACAGATGGGAGGAAAGTTAAAATGGGAGTAAATTAGGAAGGGAGGGCATGAAGTGGATTGAACTGGCTCAGGATATGTACAAGTGATGATGGGCTGTTTGAATGACAGGAGGTACCCACAACTGCAGTCATTTATCAAAAATAACTTCATGAATATCTTCCCTCATTTCAGAATCATCAGTTAATTAATTACTGGTTCTGTTATAAGTAGTTCTGCTGTACCTCTGTAGGATTATAGCAGCCAAGAGCATCTGATAGTACATTTTCACACACCTGATGAAAATTATTTGAAACTAGAACCAGATTTCAGATTCATAATTTTAATAGAAAATTACTTTTTGTACAATCATACAGAAACCTTACAATTATTGACTTGTACTGAAAACAGTTTTGAAATGAGTGAGGTGTCTCCTCTACCATTCAAGGGGTGATGAACTGAGGTTCGATGTTTACCTGAACACCAGCATTCTGACTGGCAAGACTTCTGATGGTCACTGACACTGTCATCACTTTATTTTAACAGGAATCAATGCGCACACTATATCCGTTTTACTTTCATTTTGTAGTTCCCATTTAACTTGTAGATGCATCTGCAAACAAAGAAATTTTTTTGTGAAGAAATGCAAATGTGTGTCCTCTTAAAATCAGGAGATATGATCGTAACATATCAAAACCTACCACTGTTTTGAGATTCAAGAAATATTTTGATGCTTTTAGAATAGTTTCATAAGCAGTATATATATATATATATATATACACACCCAGTATGCAGTTATGCTTACTGTGGGATATGATGTCTTGATAGGGAATGTGGCCGTGTAATGGTAGTTTTTTCCGGGCTCTAGGGGACATTTCAAGCCACTGGACTTACAGGCATCTGGATTCTGAACAGGCCATGGTATAGGGATTCCCTGAATAATACCATGTACATCTGCCGTCACAGTGTTATCAGTAACACCTGAAAATATACACGCCATCAAGATGATAAATTCAATGCGACTCAGAATACCAAGTAGGACTGAAGTGCTAATGCACCTAACTTGTGTTGTAGACGTAAATGAGTTTCTGGATAGATTTATCGCAGATGAGGCTTTCAGCATGTGCCAGAAGGGACTGCAAGTCGCTCGGGTTTCACACATGTACAATCATCTTCACCCAGTACAACATTAAATAACCCCAAAAGTATTTGTAAATAACTTATGAATGAATCAAACAGAATATCTGTTTGTGGGAAAAAAGAAAATACTAAAAGGACTTAAATAGCTAAGAATTGTTTTTTAGGGCTACAAAAAGTGTCAAAATTCCTCACCAAGCTAAATAAATATACAATGTTATTACATTGCATAGGAACAATGAGTCCCAATCACATATGAAATTCATCCAATCTGGCAAGATGGAGCGTGTGGCCACCCTAATGAAGGAAACCATCATAATGTTGCCAACATAGTTACTATGATCTGTCTACTTACTTGTGGTAAATGATATATCCAGTGTAACATTTGAATTCTTTTTCAAAATACAGACAGGGTCTGTGTCTTTACATGATGATATGGTAACATTTGTAAAGCTTCCAGCCGTTGATCCTGAAAAGGAAACGAGACTGTGAGCAACATGACCCAAAGTTTCAAGTTACTAGTGTTCACTGTACTTTTCCTGGTAACGCCCCCTATGTAATATAACTTATCTTACCACAGTCTTCAACAGGAAGAGAAAATACACCTGGAAAGACGAATGCACATATCACTGTTGTAATTATAAAGCGCTCCATTGCAAGAATAGTGTGAAACCACCAAATGGATTATTAGAGAATTTGATAAACTGTCACAGTAAGGCCCTGTGCCACTCTGTCAAAGAGTAATTAAAGTTTCTTTAATCGGACTTTGGTATGTGTGACAATTTTTCAAATTAGAACTTTACTGATGTTCTGTGTATGTAGGTTGTGTTTACTGAAATTTTCAAACAAACAGAAACACACTTTTCTTCTCTCTGAAGTTATGCAGAACTAATATCTGTTTATTCTTGATTTCTCAGAATCGGTTGCTTGTCATGACACATCGTCACTGGATATATTACCACTCATCCATGCCTCATGCCTCACTAACCCCACTCTGTGGACCCAAATGACCCATCACCTCGATCATATGTTGTGTGACGTCATAGTTTACTTTACTGCCATCTATGAAATATAAATAACCACTCACATAGTGATGAGTCGGTAAAGTGGTTGTCTACTATATTGCTGAGGCGTGTTTGCGCGTGCCTGTCTATCTACCCTCCCCGGTCGCCCATCAAATGTAGGCACATAATTTGGATACAATACCGATAATAATAGCTAAGGTATGTAAATTTAATGTTATATTAATTACACACACTTATAAATATGACATGCGTTAAGCAGTGCCTGAAGTTATCGCCAGAGAGCAGTAGGTTTGTTACACGTGAAGTCGACAGCTCAAATCCGTTCCTGACAGGAAGTGACGAGTTCGTGATGTGGTGTTTGTTGTAGATGTAGCAATAATAGTTCCTTCATTTTGTAGCATACATTGAGCGTGTACGTGATTTATACATAACGGTAAGTCTTGTTAATGTGTAGCACATTTAAAGCTGAGGTATTTATACAAAGTAAATTAAGGCATAAATTAATCGTTCTGAAAGAATGTATTTGATACTGCTGTCTGTATGGCACATTTTTTTAAATATATCCTGTTGATGTCTGTGTTGATTTTCAACTTTAATAGTTTTCGGGGTGTTACTAAAATCTTCATGTTATCCGGATGTCGTAAGAAAACAAAAAGGCTCCAGAACATTTTAAATTTTGTATTTATGTCAATTGAGGGCCATGTGCTGTACTGTTGCCCTGTGTGATGTTTTCAGTTACAAATGTGACTTGAATGAATTGAATGTAGGTTTATTTATGATGTGTTTTCCTGTTTCTCTGCATTGTAACAGTCTTATGTGAAATAATGAAATCAAGTCTTTACTGCCAGTAATTTTGACGTAATCATTCCATTTCATTACATTACAGAGACTTATTTACGACAGATTCTCCAGAACCGTGGTTCTACTGTCAACTTTTGTTTCAGATCTGCAATTGACATTGTGTCAGATTTATCATGGACCAGGTGACAAAATTTGTTGAACCAGGCCGCCAGTTTGCCAAAGATTCAATTCGATTGGTGAAGAGGTGCACGAAGCCCGACAGGAAAGGTAATGACTTTGCTTAAGACTGCCATGTACAATGAGAAGCATGCCGTATGGTCTGAGCTACTGACATTGTTAAACGAGGCTAAGATAAGTAAATAAATAAATGTACAGATAGTTCGTTAAAATAGGATCCATGTATTTCATCAAAAACCCTTCAAAATGTTTACATTTAATACTGAATTAGAAGAAAAGGTCAGTAGCAGTTGTAAAACCAAATAAATGTTTTATGATTTTACTAGGATCATGTCTACGTGTTCTTGTATTTGTTTACGAATGTTTTACTAATGCCATTGTAAATGTAAATCTAGAAATTAGAACCAAGAGCATGACAATTTCCTTGAAAAATATATTTAATATCACCTGTAATTTAGAAAACTTAATCCTAATGTTTGTGCATAAATTGTTTTGTTGTGTTTATATAAATTTTTTGCAATGATAAGTAAACATGATTTGTGAGTGTTTTTCAAAATTTTTTTTCTCATTTCGTGAACCTTAGGTACTTATACCGCTTTACCTTGGCACCAGTAAATTTAAGAAATGCAGATTGAAATATTGGTTTACGAGGTTTGATACCGCATTGTTTATCGTGCGGTCGCCATACTGAGTGTGCGCTGAAAAAAATACAAACCACGCTGCTTTGTTTGTGGATACACTGTACCTGGTTTGAATTTGAACCGCAGTGTCATGCACGTTGTTAACTTTTTGTTTCAGAATTCCAGAAAATCGCAGTTGCCACTGCGATAGGATTCTGTATTATGGGATTCATAGGCTTCTTTGTGAAACTGATTCATATCCCGATAAACAACATCATCGTGTGAGTAGCAATCGTGACACTTTGTCGTGATGTCTCTGATTTGTTTTGTGAGTGAAAATAATACTATATTTTGGTTTTCTTCCAGGGGTTCGTAAGTGGCTGCTTGCGCGTGGCACTTCGGCTGCCCTTCTTTGTGACAGATGTTAATAATTTAAAGTATTTAAGTTTTTTTTTAAGTGTTGATGACTGAAAATATTACTCATTGCCTGTAACATCATTGAACTGGAAAGAATAAATTGATACAAAAGTTTGTGCTGTTATATATTGAGTGATTGTTGGTTGATTGTTTGTTTGTTTGGTTGTTTGGGAGGAAAAATAGTGTAATGTTATATGTTCACATTTCCATAACAAATGTGCCGACTGTGTCTGGGTTTTGCAGTGTAAGTATTTTAGAAATTGAATATGACTGTCAACTGCGATATCGCACTGTCTAGTGCGATAGAAATTGAAAATTTATGAGGTGATCAATGACTTTATACCTCACCGCATCGCCTGTTCTCGTTCTCATTGCAGTAGTTTGTGTCTAGGCATTACAATTATTTGTAGAATTAAATTTGTTTTCCCAGACTGGGATTTTTTCCATTTTCTCTTTACGTTGTCATCATTGTGATAACAGACGTGGTATTTTATTAAACGTCGCTGGCTGGGAATGCTAGGTCTGTTACGAAAGGACTCGCCCCCACTTAAGCCGGTACAGACAGCGACTTAAGTAAGGGAATCCAAACTTGGCTTTGTATGCTCATTTCATCAGCAGGTGTTGACTTGCGGAGTGACTGAGCTGTTTTGTGACTGATGTTTGTTTAACTGTGACTGCCTGCGTATTTATAACTACATGAAGCAGAGTTCTTACTGAGAAGCTGGTAGTCACTCAGCGAATCTTGAAATTCCCCACATTATATGGAAACTTGAAGTTTATTGTTGTGTTCACAAGATCCCGCCGCTGGTCCCTGTCCTGAGCTAGATGAATCCAATCCATACATTGCACACTATTTGCTTATGATTGGTTTTAATATTATCCTGCTGTCTGTGTCAAGGTATTTTACACGTTTTCTTTCTTTTATGCGTGTTTCTTATCTCGAGAAGGGATAAACCAAATTTTTCCAAACTTGGCATGCTTATGTCTTACACCAGGAGGATATTTCAGAAACTAGCGGCGCTAAGATCAAACTTGTTTCAGCGAGTGTTTTTACAGGGGCAAGTTAGCAATGGCGATAAAGCTCGTTTTTTTGAGTCCTGATGAAGGTATTTTCTGTATGTTCGTTGTTTCTGTGAGGAGAATGCAAGAACAGAAGCCACTATCCCAAAAAGTCTGGGGTCTTATCCTGGTGGACGGTTTTTCAGCATACTGAAAACTAATTGCGATAGTCAAGGATATTTGAAAACGAACGAACTAAATATGGTAGAACAGCAGTCGTAATGTTAAATCGTTCTCTTTGAGCAGGATATTAACTAACTAACTAGATAGCTTACTGAACCCGAAGGCTCATCACCGAATTAACCAAGGATATTTCCTCCCATAATTAATGGGGCAAGGCTTCTGATTATGTATAGTAAGTTACAATTTTTAACAGAATTAGCCAAAGGAGAAACTTTGTTTTTCCCCCCACAAAATACAAGTGAAATCGTCTGTTTACCAGTTTTCAGCTCAAGTATATTTCACTAAGATAATCAGCCAAGGTCATTAACAGTTTTTAAATGAGGAGGGCATTACGAAGAACACTGTTAACAGAGTTAGTTGTATGTGGCTTAATCAGAAGATTAGCCGGGTATTTTGCCCACAGCAATTATTTCACTAAACGGCATTAACCAGTTGATCATTGATAAAAGTGTTTTTAATTAATTTTTATATATTATTCGAATGAGTTTAAGGTTCAAAGGGTCAAACAAGTAAAAATCCAGACGAGCAGGATTTATAATTAGCGAAAAGGCGTTAGAAAAATTGTATCTGGGTTACGGTTCAAATCCCGTCGTCTGAAAACAGAAGTTTCAACTTCTGCATAATGGATTTCTTCAGTTCATGTCCGGCTACTACAAGTAGCGGTCACAGTGCTACTATGTTTATCTCACTTCCGAGAACTCCAAACATAAACATTACTACTGCTACAAACCCGGCCGCCCGCCGGTGCGAAAGACACTTTTGAGGGCGAGATGAAATCCGATGGACCACCCCCTCCCCGCGCAGCGTGGTCATTGACAGAATTAATTCCATCTCTTCAATTGGATGATTTCAAAAACAAGTCGCCTAGAAACGAAAACACTTGCAGGTAGACGTTTCCTGCCATGGTGATCAAATCAAGGTGGATGAGATGGGTAACACATGTAGCATGCATGAGGAAAATGATAAATTTTGGCCCTAGAACAAGCGAATGCAATTTTTATATGTCGTCGCATTCTCAAAGGCTTTATTACTTACTTTTATATATGATTTTGTTCTCCAGTCTGATTAAACATGAATATGAACCAAGTTTTCTCGTCTTCAAAAACGACAAGCCATCTTTTTATATTCGTTTTTGACCAATAAATTATCACACACACACACAACATAATTGTTTACCAAAGTTGGCTTTCCATCTTGAGCTCATTTCCCTCCCCGTGCAAGCATTTTTTTTTCAATTTCTGTGGCACAGACTGACTACAAGTAGAGTCTTTCATCCATTAAGTCTACGTATTCTGTGAACTCAAGACTGGATGCCTCAGGCACTTTCTTTAAAAGCATCTTAATTTGACTGCGTATCTAATATTGAGCATCGTTCTAGCAGGATACCGAGCTTTACTGGCTAGCCTGAGGTCTTCTGTGGACTTCCTCAGTCCCTACAACCAAATGCTGTAATAGAACTTAACGTGTTCAGGATGGATACTACGGGCCACGCTCGACACACGGCACCAGAAAACTTTTTCTTAATCTCTCCCTCAACCACGTGTTCACTCCTGATTGGACAAGACATTGTACCCTCATTCACATCTCACCTGCCACCTAGTGCCCAGTTTAGGCAATGCTTTCGAAACCCTCCAATATTTTTTTACCCTGCAAATGGAAACTCCAGTTTTTATCCAAATATTGGAATACCTGTAACATTCAATGCAGTTTTTCCCCAGAAGTTGAAGTCATGCGTCTTCATTTTTTTAAGTTTCTCCCAATCAAGAATGAGTACGAACGCCCCCTTCCACCCCCCCCATAGCTTCAATTTTTGTAATTTTTTTTATTTTATTAAACACGATGATGAAACCTGTGAGCAAACAGAAATATATCTGAGATGGATACGAAGTGGGAAACAGATAAAGTCATATTCATTTGTAAGATTCATTTAATGATAGAAAAAATACAAGTGGTCCTTTAGAAAGCCCACAGCAGTCCAGGTACTCAAGTACATCGAAGTAACATATTTGGAAATAAGTGACTTACAACTAGATAAGAAACGCAGTCAATCGAAGCGCTTGACTGCAGTTTTTCTTTCCGTGTCCCAAACCTTCCACATTCAGATGTAAAAAGCATGTCATGTTTTAAATTGATTTAAAATCAAGCAATAAGTAATATTCTCCGTGCATCTGTCAGGCGAACCACTAGAAATGCACTTTCTGAATATGCAGTAGTGTTGAAGGACTCGTTCAACGCAACTGGCACTAAAAGGTTTTGGGACAGTTCATAGCCTCTTAAAATAGATAGTAGCGCACTTCCATTATTTTGTATAGGAATAACAGTTTAAAAGAAAAATATTTAAAATATTTTCTTCTCGTAACTATTGACAGTTTTTGTGTTTGTGTGCATTTTATATCTTTTTAGAATGTGTAGCGACAGAACAGCTCCATTTAGGACAATAGAAATGTAACATACAAATGCATACTAATCCAAGATAAACACGTCCATCAACATTTATTCCGGCAGAAATCAGTAGAAATTTTTTATGCAATCAAAAACTTCTTAAGTAATACTTAAAATTACTGAAGAGCTTTTGAATGAAACAGACATAGGTTTTTATTTCCTTTTTTTAGTATATTCTTGGTTGATTTTGCTTCCCACAAAAGCATCAAAGAATACGACGAAAGAGAGTTTTGGATTTCCAGCTCAGTCCACGTTTATCCCGGATTTCCCTTAAAAGTATGCAATACGAAAATTATCACAGAAGATACAACATGACTTGGTCATGGTAGAGGCCAACATCGAAACATCTGCTCGGATCTGATAGCCGTGAAATCAAAAGCCTAGCGGAGGAAGATGAATACCATTTATAATAATCATGATAATCATCTGCAGGTGCCCCAGTATGTCGATCTATATGTAATGCAAAGAACAATCCGATTTATATTGGTATGGCAACATGACAGAAATACAATAGCGTGAAATGTATCGTTAATTACATAAAATCCACGTCACATGTTCATCCAAATTTTCACTGTTCCTTTGAGGTCCTCTATTTGTCTTGGTACGTTCTGAGAATTACATTTTGGTCCACTCGGCTTTAATGATGTTCGGAACTCAAAATTGGACCTGATCAACATTCAGACTAACAGGCGTCGATAGCGTCCTCTCGTGAACTTATTTTGCTACTTACAAATATCACAAAGACAGTCTTTAAAACTGAAACAGAACAAGGAGATTCATGTGACATGAATTTCGGAAGCAGAACGGAGTTTCCAGCACAGACGCAAATGTCTCGTCATGTCATTTACGAACACAAACGATGGCGATGTCAAAAAGGAATTCATTCCCAGTGGCATGTCTCAATACACGGTACCGAATCACACATACTTTTCCTCTAAAGGCAGTCTAAACCACAAGCAGCAGCTCGAAAGGAACAAATGGCAACTACTTTTTGGGGGCTGGTACACCGTAATCGATCTCTAATTTGTTTTATCGTGGAGTAAGATGATTAATTTATAATCCTGCGTGCTCTTATTGGTAAAAGACAGTCTGGACTGGCTGTGAACCGAATAGGGCAAGAGACATCCGAGTTTACATCTTCTGCGCCACTTTCAGGATGACCCCATCATATGCGGGGCACAGGCGCCTGGAACGTGAGGGTAGGAATTACAGGGAGAGTATAAATTCTAACCTCAACCGTTCAAGAAGCAAGATTTAAGTTCAGTGCAAGGACAAGACGTATAATTTATGAAGAGTTTAGAGTTCCTTTAAAGAAAGAAGTTCCGTGCGCAAGGAAGAAACACATGTACCAAGTTACAGTAACAAAATTGTGAACACATGAAGAGCACTGCCCCCATCCCCGTCTTTGTGGAGGCAGTTAGCACCTGACTTAAGCACCTTAACGAACAATTGCAGCAAAGTGGTGCGTAACAAAGTGAAAATTATCTGTATAAAAAACAACATTCCATATCTAACATTAATGAGTATAAAATACAAGGCCAAATTCTGAAGGACAGGAGGTGTGTGATCAGAAAGTCAAAAATTGATCTAGCACGATGATAAATCATCATCATCATCATGTGAATGGGTCACCGAACAGACCGTATATGGCACATAGACTGGACATTTATATAATTCCTCGGAAAGAAATATTAAATTCGCGGCATCTCCTCCTGAACCTACAGAATTTAATCCCACTTAAAAAACAAACATCTCAAGTAAAAATTATAAAAATATCTGATAACATGGAAGGCTTAATGTGAACAGGCAGAGCATTTGTCTTTGTTACCTTATCAACTAAAACCTTACTGCAAAGGCACTGACTGAATCCCTTCGAAGGAGGTCCACGACTCAGTGTCTTGTGACTCCAGCCTTCGGGATCACAGACACTGCTCGACAATGCCCCGCAAGATATTGGATCCTCGTAGCCCGAGTCCTTTTCCCCCTGTGCTGTGCAGACATCGTGAAGTCCGTGCGATTATCTGCTTACCATAAGACACATCATGTAAACTGCAACATTTTCCATTACCACCATAAACGATGCCAATCAATCGAAGTGTTTGAAGTGGCTTTACGTCTGCAGTCAGTCACCTGCACGAACAGTGGCTTCGACCACCAAAGAATCTGGAGATTATACCTGATTAATGAGGAAAAGAAGATTAAGGCAGAGACCAGAAGATACATGGAAGGTAGGACGCTGGGTTGGCCCCAGAGCCAGTCTGTATGCGGAAGCTATAGTTAAAATCCTCTGACCCTGTCGGGGATCAAACACCGGTCGTCCAGTCTGAGCTAACACAAGAGTTTTATAGGTTAGAAAAAATGGAGAAGCCTCTAAAAGGTGACTGACACTCGTTAATGGATGATGATAAGTATAATTAGTGCTGATGCGCCATCTAATGAGTTAGTAAAGCAGAGATGTACACCCTCGTAGAAGATATTTGTTGCTGCGTCAAAGACGATATCACATACTACAAGCTGCTCGCGGAAAGGACACGAATCCTAATGTACGTAATCTCGCCGTGTCCTAATACTGAGCCTAATTCACTAGTACAGTTGTGGACCAGTCATGAAGCTGAATTCACTTAGAGACCAAGTGCGCTTCTGAACCCTTCGCCCTTTTCCACGTAGCCCAAGGTCATTTACAGCGTCAGCATTCAAACGTGTAAGAATGGGGGAGTATAACTAATATGCAAGTCCTCATGCATAAAGATTAGTATTTTCTTTATAGAATGTGATAAGGAACTTAACAAAAGCATGGTAATTACACATACACATAACGAACGAACAGTGCGCCTAAATTCTGTCTATGAGAGGAAACTAATCAGAGACTGACTCGCTATTGCCATGAAAGACAAATCCAGGAAAAATTATTCTATTTCTTAATAAGCCCGTGGTTTACATAACATTTCTTGTGGGAAACAAATTATATCAGAGATTTTTCTATGCAGCGTCGTATTACTTCGTAAAACTCGTACGGAGTTTTTTTTTTTTTTTTTTTTTTTGGGGGGGGGGGGGGGGGTGTGGTG